AACCAAGCCATGTTTGGTGTTTAATTGCTTATTTATTTTGGTCTTGGAGCAAAAAGGCTAATGTAGCTTACAAGTAATGGAAGCTTATAGTCCTGCAACTTGCATTGTGCTTAAATCATTATGCACTTTCCATATTGTTAATGTCATCTCAATACGGCAAGTGCATATTGTTACGTAATCTCAAATAGAATTGTTTATGTAGTGTGTATGATGTACTGGACCAAAATGGACAAAATTACCTCACAGAACTAAGCATGTAGTATGCTAGTAATTCACCATCTTGAAGTTTAAATCTTGCTGTGCTTGTGCCCATTGTTATTAAAAAATGTTTGTCTTATAAGTTTGCTTCTTAAAGAATGCACTGTGTCATGAGCTGTAAGGCTAATTTATCTAACAAGCGAAGGAAGCTTCTAGCTACCAGTTAGCATTGTGCAGGCTAAGTATGAATCCTTAAGTAATGTTACATTTGGTACGCTACCTAAGACACTTTTTTAGGCTGCCTGTCTGTGTCCTAAATGTAGCACACTTTGATGGCTCCCGGCTTAGAACAGGCCATAGACATTTAAATAGCTATCAGCGTGCTATTTGTCAAGATGCTGCTCATTCAAGAGGAAAAAAAGCATGTAAACAAAAGATGCCTGACTGTGGAGTGAAAGCCATGCAGAGGTCACAAGGTGAAATCCTGCAGACATACCAAAACACACAAGGCCTTGGCATACTTCTCCCGAAAAACGCATGGATTCTTACTAGCTCTTGGATGAGAGAACTGAAACTGAACTATAATCCATCAAAGGAAATACCAGGGATTTTTTTCTCTCCAGGGAGGGGGTCACGGGTAGCGGGGGGCTCAAGAAAGACAACAACGGAAGTGGAACAGCCATCTAACCAATTCACACTTCCAATATATATAAAGCTGAACTCTTAAGCTGCGCACCCCTCCAACCACCACACACACACACACACACACACAGTGTGTCATCACCACAACAGAGAGACCTTGAACACATAATAAAGAAACAAAGCAGCTTTGTTTTTGTAAACACTATTTAGCCTGTTACAGATGAATTGGGCATATTTTTGTTGTTCTCATATGACAAAAAGTTCTTTTTCTTTAAAAAGGGAGAGAAACTACTAGTAATGATTTGGACCACATTAATACAGACACTGTATGAGTCAGAACCGGAATATGAATCAGATTCACAAAATCTTTTCTAAGAAAAACAAAACATCTGATGACAAACACTAGTACATTCATAAGAATGCTCTATAGGGCTATGGTTACTAATTGATCGCAACTGCATATAATCAAAAGTAGAACTATATTCACCCCCTTGCTGTTATGTCATGCCGCACCTAAACAACCTATATGCTGCTTTTGAACCGCCTCAAAAAGTTTGTGCAAAGTGCAAATTACCCCTGACTTTCAGATTTAGAAAAAAAGGCAGGAGCAAAAACAAACAAAACTCTACAAGCCTCTTCAAATCTTATAAGATCTGGCACTGAGAACACAGCAGAGCAGTGTGAAGGAGGCTGCTGGAGAGTGCTGAACAGGAGAAGATGGTGAGGGGGGGCAATTACCTCTCAGTAACGGAGAGGTGGACCAGGTTTGGAGGTTTTAAGAGGGCCGCTGTCCATAAACATTTCAGATAAGGGGAGAGAAATGGCAGTGGATGTGACAGCTGCAGAAACGTCGTTCCAGTGGAAATAACAGCGAGTATGCTTCCAATGCAGCTGCAGTCACTGATTTGGATAATTTCATACAATTTCAAAGGGACATTTATCTGTTTTTTTAGAAAAAGAAAGAGGGGCCCAATGTCTTCTTTCATTTCAATCTAAAAAAAACATATACTGAGCTACCTGAAATGTGGCTATCCACTTTAAAGGGGCCATATTCTGCTTTTTCTTGTATTTTATGTTCACTTATGACGTTTGTGTGGGTTTATGTGCCAAAAATAAAATTCTATTTTACAATCAAAATTTCCAAATCTCTCTTTATCCCTTAGAATTAAACAGACTGTGTTTGTCATTGTGCTGTCGAGAGTAACATAGCCTGGCCCCAGAATGTATTTGGGGATTTGCGCCATACTTAATGTATGAAGTTCACTGTGTTGGGAAACAAAATGTCAAACAAAGTGGCATTTATTTTAAACAGACCATCACAAAACGACAATTATTTATTTTCTTTGAACAATTATTTTACATTACATTGCATTACTATTATTTTATGTTACAGTTAACCATTATAAGAAAAACAGCCTCGGACTTTGCTGTTTCCACCTCTATGTTTTATAGTACTCTTAGTGCAGTCTGGTTGTAATTCTTGTCCAGGTTTTCTCCACACAAAGAGCTGAAACGCTCCTTACAATGTGAAACTTTAGCAATGTTTACATACTCCAGAGGGAATCAACAAACAATGAGGAAGTGTAATGAGTCTATTGGATTTTAAGCAATAAATCAAGTTTGCTTTAATTTAAATGGACACAACGATAATTTGTATTCCATCTTCACCATATTACATGTTGTAAATGTGCTAATCATATCTGTGGTGGTTAGGGGGGAGGGCAAATAGTGAGAGTTATCTGTTCAAGGCTGGAGGTGTGATCATAAATGAGATGTATGTGCATGTTTAGTGTATTTTGTGTTGTATCTGTCTCATTATTTTTATTGCTTTAATGTGGAATTTAGGATTTTAGATAGACATGAGCTAACTCTGGAACAGTTTAGATTAATGCTTTTTGTGCATAATCTCTGACAGAATAAACAATCAACTAAATTAAACTAAAGCTAATACAAACTCAGTCTGGGCAAGCATGCACACTGAGCTATTGAGATAAAATGTAATGGCAATTGACTGTGTTTGCTGGCAGACACCATTTCATTTTCTTGTCACTGATATGGTTTGGTCATATTTCAGAATGTCCTGTAGCTCAAGTAATTTCTGACATATTCTGTGAAATGCCTTTACACTGGGAGTGAAGGCATTCCACAGTGTCTTCAAAAGTGCACACATCATTTGGGTATTTTACATACTTACTCAGACATGAACACCTGCAGAAAATCAGCCAGTCGTTCCTTATCCGTTCGCTGTTAAATGGGGAAACTCTAGATTTAGGCCAAAAGATTGCATAATGGCCTAAAATAAAAAAAATATCATTCCTTGGTGGTGTAAACCACCAAAGCCCCGATCAGCCAGGAGCATAAGACGAGATGGAACTCGTCCCAGCATTACTGAGCAGGACTACAGAAAGGCCTCTCTGAGGACTGTCCAGCCGATCTTCATCTGACTTGCAAATTGAGTCTTGAGGATGGCAATTACGAAGGTACTCCTTAGAATGCTGCAACTTTTGGCTGAAGTGCCTCGCTTAAGGCACAGTGACAACTGGAATCAAACTTTCAGTCATTTAAAAGTAAGACACTACTCTGTTCATTCATTCTCTGGTCTCGAGAGATCTAATCTCAACCTCACAAAAAATTTCCAACACAATCACTGATTGCGATCAAAAGTGCTCAAAGTGCATTTTTCACATAATTTTAGTCTTAGTGACTAAGTGCAGTGTGATATTATTTCATGAAGTGGTATCACTTCTTAAGATCACATGAATGCACAGAATGTAATTCCACTGTGGGATTTGACTGATGCTGGAAACTGCTCCAACTGTTGCTGGGTTAGACAAGCCTGCCAGAATGCTGGCAAAAATGACATTCAACCTAATGAGAAATTCTGGTACACTTTATTTAGAGTCACTACATAATCCAGTTTAAAATGCTACCAACTGAGCTGGATTATATATTATTGTGGCTAACCAAAACTAAGCATATTGGAAACAGCAGCTTTGCCACAGTGCAAATATTAACTAGATTACACAACAAAAAATTTCACCCTCACTCTGTCCTAACAGTGTGACCCTTCAAATGCTTAAAAACTACTAGAGGCCCATATGTTATATTTTACTATTTATATTTAATTGACGTCCCTTTATAAAGTTTGCATGGTTTTATGAACCACAAAACAGTCATAATCTTTTTAACATGTCCATTGTCCAATCTCTTTTATCCCTTACTGTCTCTTTAAGACTGATATATGTAAATAATCTCTTTTCTGATTGGCTATCCTGTATTGCACTTCATTCAAAAAGCAGTCCAGGCTGAAACACTTCTTGTAACTTCAGCATGAATGGACTGTTTGCAGCTTAGTTTCCATATTTGGACTGTGTGCACTGGGGAATGAATGGTATGTTTTGAAACTTTGATTGAATTTGATTTTCTATGACATGGGCCCATTAATCTCATACTTTGAACGGAGCTATTTTGACAAAAAAATAGGTTGTGCGCTACAAACCCTCATTAGCTTCAGTGAGATTTTTGCCAACATCCTGTAAAGCTTGTCCAAGCTTGTAGTGAGCTCAAGTAGAATTGATTTCTATTTAATGCAGGTAGTAGCAACTTACAGTTTTCTTCACTGAGGACAAATAGAACTTGATTGTCTGGAATAAACAAGCTTGCAAGTGTGCAGCATGTTTATTTTGTGTTCAGTAACAGTGTCACATTTGCATGTCTTCCCAATAGTATTGTGCCTTCTTTTTGACACTGGTCAGTGTTATTTTCCCATAACTGTCCTGTCCACAGATCTTAACCCCTCATCAAGGGCCCCTGGTGGCTTGTAAAGACCCGTCCCTTTCGCTGTGTAACTATGCGTGCTGGGCCCAAGGGCGGCAGCTGCACTGCGTCAGTGGAAACAGCTCTAATTCAGTCTCTATTATTCAACCCATGAATATTTTTTCCCTTTTTTAACCCCACATTGCTTGAGCTCCTTTGAAGTTTTGCCTTATATTACAGGCTACAACATATTTCAAGCCATGTAAAAACATTTTGTTTGTGTATATAATGAAAATGAATAAGGAGTCACAGGTTAGTAATATTTATCTATAAAATTAAATCAAGTAGTGTCAAGAAAAAAAACAAAATTTGTGATTTGTGTATGTTGTTTTTGCCTTGAACATATTAAGATCAGCCATATATGTTAAATGTCTTTGAAAGAAAACAAATAGATATTTTTTTTTCCAACACTGCAAATACTTTTGTATTAAAATGACCATTTGTCATACAGTCATACAGCACCGAACGACCTCTGCTGGTCGGGTTGGGAATTGCTGCAACTAAATTGGAATTTTTGTCCACACCCGTTTTCCGGAAAGTCCCGCCTCCTGCGCTGGGATTGGTTTATAGATCAAATTCAGCACATGACAACGTCAACTAATATCCAAACCTACCCAAGCATAGCGCGGGAGACTGGACACTTTAGCCAATCCCAACGTAAAGGGGTGGTGGTTAGCTGAAAATAGGTGCGAAAAAAAACACGGTCTGCGCTTAATCCAGTTTGGAGCGCTCCGCTGAAGATGCCACTTGTAGAAACGTGACAGTGCGCTGGCGCTGTCTATTCCAACATCTTTCTCTACCTCAGACAGTCCTGAAAGCGAACATCTGGAGGGTTTTGGAGGTGCAAAGAGAAAACTTTGGCCCAAAGATGTGATGGTTCAGAACGGATGCGGACTGGATGAGAAATCAGACCCAATGCGAGCCAAGTGGAGGTCTGCTGAGGAACTCAGCTTGGGACAGGGAGACGAGACGGGCTTGGACATGATGACACTGCCCGTCGACTGCGCCGAGCCAGAGCAGTGAAACTTTTTGCCTTGATGGAGTGTTAAAAATGACATTTTTTAAGTTGGTGAACGAAAGTAAGGATGTCTTGTCCTCCATTGAAGTTGAAGCCATCAATGAGACTTTAGATGTGCAGCCTTTTCTCACGAATAGAACCACCAAAAGAACCAACGTGACGTGCGCTAGCGTCCTTTTGGAGCCCCAGGTGGTGGCTGTGGGGGTCTTTTTGGCCATCTTCATCTCGGTGGCCATCGTTGGGAACATTCTGGTCATTTTATCAGTGCTTTGCAACAGGCACTTGAGGACGGTCACTAACTTCTTTATTGTGAATCTGGCCATAGCTGACCTTCTGCTGGGGGTTGTTGTGCTGCCCTTCAGCGCCTCACTGGAGGTGCTGGGCTGCTGGGTGTTTGGCCGGGCGTTCTGCAACATTTGGGCAGCAGTGGATGTGCTGTGCTGCACGGCATCCATCCTCAGCCTGTGCATCATCTCTGTGGACAGGTATGTTGGGGTCAAATACTGCCTGCGCTACCCCACCATCATGACAGAGAGGAAGGCAGGCGTCATCCTGGTGGTCATCTGGGTGGCATCCGCTGTCATCTCCATTGGGCCGCTCCTTGGTTGGAAAGAGCCACCGCCAGCTGACGAAAGTGTCTGCAGCATCACAGAGGAACCAGGCTATGCCCTCTTCTCTTCACTCTTCTCCTTCTACCTGCCGCTCTCTGTCATCCTGGTCATGTACTTTCGGGTGTATGTGGTGGCCCGACGAACCAGCCGGAGCCTGGAGGCCGGTGTGAAACGCGAGAGGGGCACCTCCACGGACGTGGTGCTGCGCATCCACTGCAGGAGCCTGCCCGAGGAGGCTCTGGAACAGAGCCGCAGCCGGGGCAGGGGCCAACCCTTTCGTAGTTCGCTCTCCGTGCGCCTCATGAAGTTCTCCAGAGAGAAAAAGGCGGCCAAAACCTTGGCCATCGTGGTCGGGATGTTCGTGGTGTGCTGGCTGCCGTTCTTCTTCGTGCTACCTTTGGGTATGTGTGGAGTATTTTGTTGGACTTTTTTTAGCCCCCTAGTTTGCCTCTATCAGTTAGGGCAGTGATTCTCAAACCAGTCCTTGGGGCCCCCAAGACAGTCCACATTTTTGCTGCAAGCCCAGCTTGCAACACATAGGGATTGAGGACAAATGTGGACCATCTGGGCACTGAGGACTGTTTGGCAAATAAAAAGTAAGACATCCACATACGTGCTTAGGGAGGTAGGTACGCCAAAAATCAGATTTGTCCAATTTTCCTCTTACCTCAAATTTAAATGGTCAGTCAAGACATGTTTGGTGTCTGAAGTTTGCTTCTTCAGTTTTGCACTGGCTAGCAAAGTGATGGAAGCCAATACCCCACCAGTTAGCATCATGCAAACCATATGCCTAAATCATCACACCCTTGCCTTGAGCCACTTCAAGTAACCCAAACTTGCTTATGTGGTTTGTGACACTGTATAACACTATAAAAAATGTTTGTATAGAGACTTTTGTCTGTGTAGAAAGATAACAGTGTCAAAAATACATAACCCCTTTTGAGGTTAATTAACAGCATAAAGCAGCTTGAGGAAATTGTGTGATGATTTAGGTGTGCAGTTTGCACAGCGCTGTTGTGTTCAAGCTTCCATTGCTTGTATTAGCTCCAGTGCAAAACTGAAGAAGCATATCTCAGATATTAAACACATCTTGGCTGTTTGACTTCATTCGGGGTGAGAGGAAAAATGTGAAAATTTGATTTTTAGATAACTAAGGTAATGTGCCTAAAAGCACAGGCGTGTCCGCAGTGATGTCTGAATAAAATCCTGCATGTGCAGAGCCGATAGCTGAGATGCTTGTCCGTGTAATTGGGGATGTGCTTGAGGAGGTAATAGTTCATGGCTATCCATATGGAAGTAATGTTATTGTTATAGTAAGGCATTACATACAGTCATACATAGCACCAGTGTCCTAGACATGGACTAGACTGCTTATAGACTTAGCTTTCTACATATACAGTACTGTGTGAAAGTCAGAGACCACACTTTGTTTATTTAATTTAAAGTCAAAGTGGTCATTAGGGACAAGTTTTTTTATTTTTCAGTGTCAGGAAAGAAGCAGAAAACATATTTAACACAGAAGCCTTAATAACTAAATATAATATCAGATTCTTCAATATTTATTCAGTCCACGTTTTACCCTTATTACAGCTTCCATTGTTTTGGGAGACTTACTTTGAGTTTTGCAAAGAAATCTGCAGGGATGCTTTTCACACCTCAGTCCTGGAAGTTGGTTGCATTTTCTGCTTCTAACAACCCAATTATTTTCAAACACATTCAAGTGATGTTGAGGTCTGGACTCTGGGGTTGTCAGTCCATTGTTCTGAGACCACCAGCATCTTCTTTGTTTGATTGGCAAATTTTCTTCCTGATTTGTAAAATTTCCCCACATCCTTTCAGACTCATAGAGTTGAGTTGTCTTCTTACAGTAGAAGGATGGACAGAAACACTTTCATGGTTGTTAGAAGTCCCATTTTGTCCAACTCCAGTTTTGGAAACCTTGTTTTTCGCTTATTCTCCTTTGACATTCCCCTTAGTTTTATAGATAATCCTCAGATATCTTTCCTGAAAACAAAGAAGGTGTACTGTTTGGCTGTTTTGACAGGAAATTAAAATGAATGAGTGGTGGTCTGGTGGAATGGTGGTTTTGCACAGTACTGTGAATTAAGCTTTCTAGACATGGATTAAACCTGCCACAGCAAGATTCAAAGTATTGAATTAACACCTAGTGTTAGGATTAACACCAGTATTGTTGCATTAACACCTACAGTGTTCACTGAAATTCAGCTGGATGCTAATGAACACTTTCTAAACTGATTGTGAATTCAGTACTTGAGATTTGACCGTGTGGTTTTACATGAAACAAGCCTAGTAGGACTGTTTTCATGAATTAAAACAGTGGTTCTCAATACCATATTCCTGCATGTTGTAATAGTAGTTGGATCAGACGTGTTTTGAGCAAGTAAATGTGCATGGCAGTAGCACTCCAGGACAAGCATTAAGAACCTCAGTGGTCACAAACCTTACACCCTGAAAGAGTTTGATTCTGATCCCAATTGAACTGGTCCAGATAGTCAGTCTGCCTGATTATCTGTATCAGGTGAGTTAAATTCAGGCAGGTAGATCAAGAAGGTTTCAAGAAGGTAGGTCTCCAGGAGCAAGGATAGTAACTATTGGTCTAAAACATCCTCTGAATACTTAAATCTAAATGTAATCTTAGGCCTGTTAAGATTTGACCTTTGGAAATTTGAATTTTAAAGCAAGATTCAAAACGTGAACAAATAGAACTTATGCATGTTTATTGATGATAAATCCTTGGCCTGTTAGATAAGATACAGCAAAAAACTCCATCAGCTTTACACTGATATCAAACACTGGAATAACCGAAGCATTTCATGCACAAATAGAGGCCTTGTTTGAACTGTAAACCTGCGTGCTGCTATTTTCTGAAAAGCTGCTGTCATGCATGACAGTTTTCTAAGTAGCTACACATATCAACAGTATACAGAGAGGCAGAGGAAAGCACCAAAAAGAAATCCCTGGTGTTGTAAGAGAGCTCTAAATGATCTTGCAAAACATACAGCGTTTTACTCTATAGCTTTCTATACATCTTAATTGAATCCCCACACAAAACTCATATTTACACACATTTATATTGGCTTTCAAATTAACACCGTAACAATAAACTGAGACTCCTTTTGTAATGCCTCTTATTTATGAAAGTCGCACTGGACACAAGACAGACGTTCAGCTTGAGCAATAATTGCACTAACGAGGCTTTCATGGGCCAAAACCTTCTCAACGTTCCATGACAAAACTGTCTCAACATCAAAACTAATTGCTTTATGATAAGGCAGCCCATGCTTTAGCCATCAACTCCCCCTTCACAACCCCTAAGCGATTTCTTTATGGAGACAACATTAATTAATGGGGGTTAATGTATTTTATGCAAGCAAAGCCACAAAGATCCAAAGGGAGGGAGAGTTAGTAAAGGTCATTGTTACCATTCCAATCACACGTTAATAAGCAAGGATTTATAGAATTAAAGGACTCATATAATGTAAGTAATTAAATTTAGAGTTTGATAGAGCATGTAAACATTTTTAAAATTTTAAAATGTACCAGTTTGTGCAGTCCATATATGGAAACTAAGCTGCAAAAATGGCACATTAACATATATCGCTGTTGTCGGAAGAAAACCTCGTATCTCCAAAATGGTAACTTTACAGGACAAAACCTACTTTACTTTTAATGTAAGTCAATGGAACCAGACTTTTTTCAAAATCATTTTAGGCTGTTTGTTTTGGTCCATTCATCTTCATGCAATGTAAAGGGCAACAAGTATTTTCAAATTCTGTAAAAAACTGAAAAACAACAAAAATGGAGATTTAAGGTTTTCTTCCGTCAGCAGTGATATGCACCAGTTCAGCCTACAGCAGTTTAACCCCTCCCATTTATGTTGAGGTTACAAGGAGTGTTTTAGCCTGGAAAGCACAATACAGGGCAGCCAATCAGAACAGAGGTGATTTACATCACCTTACAGTTTGTTCAAATACTAAGGGATATAAAGAAGTTGGAAAATGGTTAAATTAATTATGGTTGTTTTTGATACATAAAACCACACAAATGTCATAAGTGGACCTCATGCTAGATTACAAAAAGAGACCACTGATTATCAGTGTAGTTAATCTAAATGACCTCGAAGATATCCATAAAACTTGAAACATGTTCTGGAAAAAATCTGCCTGATCAAACTAAATTCCATCTTCAGACACTAAGAAGAACCCAAAGTAAACATTCTCAGCTCTTGATAGTGAACTATCAGTAATTGGCCAATAAATTCCAGCTTTTTTTTTGAAGCAAGTACCTCTGTGATAATATTTCCTTTGAAAACAAGAAGAATTCCAGGAGGGTTACAATTCTGAAAGAATAGGTCTAGTATTCATTTACTGCTCCTAATTTCCCTCACAGGAATGAAACTAAATATCAAACAAGATTAGTGTAGGTGCAACAGACTCTAAAATGGTTTTCTGAAGACCTACTTCAGCTCCTCTTATATTAAATTAAAATCGCTGTTGGGCTTACAATTTCATCACAGATTTTGAATCGCTGCACAAAACTGCATATAAGCCCCATAATTAAGACCATGCCTGCTGGTGTTCTACTCACATTCTCTGAGAGGAAGGAGGGCTTTAACTGATAGCATCTTCTGGCGAGGCTTGACTAAGCAGTGCCAGAAGAAAGCCCATTTTAATGCTGATGTGAGACCAGTCTGTCCAATTCCCTTCAAACACTAAAGGTTAGTATTTTGGTGGTGGAAGCTGGGCTGATATTGCCCGAGAGGATGATAATTTGCCAGCTTTTCCAGAAAGCCCCCCTGACCTCCCTCGTATTACGCTCCACTGCCCTAATCGCGCCCTTAATTGGGCTGAGTTTGGGGGTGGTTTCCTTTTCCAATGTTTGGCAACATGTACACAACCACCAGGAGATGAGATGGCTCTAGTCCACACGTAACACAAAGGCCTTCGTAAGAAACAGGCAGCTGAGGTAGCCTAAATCAGCAGCCACCTGCTTGGGTCTGAGGGTACTGAGAACTTATTAGAACTATTAAAGGGGTGTTCTGGCCTTGACGTAGCATTTCATATATTACTTGTTGTGCTATGTAATATTCTGTAGCACAGCATTGCATTCCTCGGCCTCACTGGTCTGACAGAATTTCAGATTTTGTTTTTCTTTTTGTGTTTTCATTCATCCATTGGTGTTCTCTTACTACAACACCCAGCATGCATAATGCAAATAGTTCATGCATAATACAGTCATTGGAAACCCCCCCACATGGTAAAATTGGCAGTAACATTAGCTATACGCTTGTCTTCTGCAATAGCCAGCTAGCAGAAAAAAAAAAAAACATTTCAACAGATTTTTGTAAGAATGTCCCTTTAAGGACCATACATCAAACAAT